ATGGTGGCTAAATACATTTAATGCTGAAGAATTGATTGATAAAGGAAAGCAGAAGAGACCACACACAGATGGTCCTTCTGCACTTAATACATAGCAACCACAACACATGCGCTGTGGTTACTAAAGTAATGACCTAACTGATGCAGCTAGTGCTAACAGTCCATTCAGACACCAGGATGCTGGCAATGAAGCAGGGCAAATCATAAGCAAGTGTCTGAGGAGCGATGGTGGACTAGAGGGGGGACAATGCTGTGCAAGAGCAGAGGGTTAGGTAAATCTTATGATAGGTTCCCTTTAAAAGGATACTCTAGACATCATATTCACTTTATCTGTTTAAAGTGGTTATGGGGCCAGAAGTCCCCTGATTCCATTTATATGTTTTTGGGTTGACACTTTAAATGATCAAATAAATTAGGTCCAGGCACTCAGGATTGCTGCGGAAAGGCAGGTTTCTTGGAACAAAAAGTGCAATGTTTCGGCCTACACAGAGGCCTTTATCAAGTTTGTGAATGACACTGAAAATTAGTCAATAAAGCAAAACACCAAAAACATTAATCAAGCTTTCTTTTTTAGAAATATGTCATTTAAAAAAAGTCTGGATTAGCAAAATGCTGGTCAAATGCACAAGATTACAAATTCACTAGTGGATGTATTCAAAATATACAAGCTAGATAATTAAACCAGTTCTGGAGCATGCATGTGACATCTTGGATGACATTAATATTCCAGTTACAAATTATATAAAGATTGACCAGAATTATTGACTGTCACAGCTATGAATCTGGTCCCACAAAGTCTTAGAAAAGGCGACTTGACCAATAAACTCCGGATGAAGAAGTATAAAAGAAAGCTTATCTAATTCAACAAATCTAATGTGAATTTTTGCCACCATACTTCACATCTTCAATAGAAATGGTCACTGTAGTCTGTATAGTTCCCCTCTTTAGTCTGAACTAACTAATGTTGTTTGGTCTTTAGACACTCTATACACTTAGTGAATGTAACAATATTATCTCAACTTACAATATAATGTAATTCTTCAACTGTGAAATGCCATTCTTCATTTCGAACCACATTAGGTATCAGTCTTGGCAGTCTCTTCATTCAAACATGGAGATGGAAGTATTAACAACAAAACTTAAATGCATTATTTTTCTTTATTAATGAAAATGAATCTTTCTTTTTCATGGTAAATAGAATCATATCTTCAATGACGATTAACTCCATATCTGACTTCTTTAGCTAGCAGCTAGAATTTAGGGTAATAGTGGTCTCTTTAAGTGACCTCACAACTAATTTACAAAGTAATAATCAGTATTTAAAACTAAAACAAGACCAACAAAAATTACCTATGGCCATGCTTATGGCATTTAAACCATCAATAATGTGTACCATGCCAGTAATATCATGGAAACAAAAGAAATCTGTTTGGCTTGCACCTCCATAACATGCATTTCCATAGTGGTTGGTAAATGTTTGCTGTAAGCTGTAGTTATTTTAGATTATGTTATTAGTAGATTTTTTTTCAGCCTCAAATAACCTACAAGTTTCCAACCTTAACCTCTGCCTTTAAAATCTGCTCGCTAGTAACACATAGCGCAACTAATGGATTAAGGGGCATATAACAATAATTACCATAGCAAGTACAACATGATAAAGGTTAAATTAACCCTTTCAGGGCCACAGCAGAGGGCACTGTAGCAACGATCTAAACAACACATCAAAAACTCAAAATGAAAAATATAAATAAAAATAAGTTGATGTCCTCAAAATTACTAGGTAGGGATCTCTTTACACTCTCCTTTACCCTATGAGATGTGAGGTGAATGGCAATAATAATAATTGTGCCTAGGAGATGCCCAGTATCTTGGGCCTTTAAACTTTCCTCTATTCAACGAGGTCCAGGAGAAACCTGTCTCCTTAGTTCAAAACCTAGCTTCCTTGATGGTACTCCAGGAGACTTCCAGCATTAATGGCCCATAAATTTGCTACTGGTCCCAAAGCCACTTGTTACTTCCCAAAATGTGTCCCTTTCTACACCCTCACACTTACGATGATGATGGAGGGCCACAAATAATGTACAATTTTTAAAATCCTGTTTTTTTAATCCTGTTCGAACCTCTGGCTAAATATCTTTTCAGTCTTCTTTCTTCAGCCAAAAATAGCCACATAAAATCATTACAACCCAATAAAACATAAAACAAAAAAATTCTGATTCACAAAAACAGCTGGTAAAAATAAAAACCATGATGCCAAAAAATATCCATGTGAACCCATCAATGGCTCAATGCAGATCAACCACTTAAGTAAAAGTCTTGTGCTTTGAATGCTCAGTAGAAGTACTGGGATTGGTTGACTTGAGAACACAGACTTTTTCAAGGATGGGCTGCTACCGTTTGTATATTTCTTGGTGATATTCGTTGATTGTTGTTTTTTGTACGAGAAATTGGAAAGCAAGTAAAAACATAATCCTTTCTGTTCATCTTCACTCATGTCTCAAACAAATCTGTGCTCATAAGTGATTTTACAGAAAGAATCCTGACCAGTCACCTACAAGGCTCTACAGATTTAAATTGCCTGTATGAGATACATGTCATGATTCCCTTTTATTCCAGAAGTTTGGTCCTTAAGGGGTTAAATCTTTTTTAGTTAAATTAGGTACAGCTGATAACCCTTTAGACACAATGACCAAGGTTTCCATGTCATTTTATACAGTTCAATGGTATTACCTGTCGTAATCTATTTTATCAAAGACAGTAGATTAAAAAAATATAATTTTTTAGCAATTTTTTACAGATTTTTTATTTTAGATTACATGTGGCACTTCCTCAATATTATTAGTGTAGGGGGTAGCTAAGGACAAATATTGGGATAGGTGGCTAGGAGCTTGTGGACCCCTAGACATCCATATGTCATTTAGTCAAATCTATGGGTATCTTCTGGACCCAATCAAAAGGGTCAGATTATCGACTTTGGCTCATTTAGCTGAGAGTGATGGATTTGCCAGTGATTTACTGGGAAATTCAAGCTGCTTAAATCTAGCTTAAGCAATGAAAATAATGAGAGTGTATGTTTGTAAATGTAAAACAAAAAAAAAACTTCTGTAGAATGAGTGTGAACATTCCTTGGTATTCAAAATATCTAAGACTATAAAGTGACATGTTGATTATGAAATCAATTCATTTCATAATTGCTTTCATTCTTTTCCTGACATTTCTTATTAGAGCACATTTCTATGTGCTAAACCAAGACAGTTTCCACTCTAATTAATATTTATTCAAATAACGAACTATGAAATTCCAATTTATTGTTGACAACTTAAATGAAACAAATCAACATGCCGAACTTTAAAATGCCAACATATCTAAACATATCCCTCAACCTTATAGTTATGCAGAGCTCATAACGTGAAGTAGACCATCCTATGCCACCTTCACTAAGCAAAAACTTTTCTCCAGTGTCCATAGTACCTACCTGTCATGCTAAGACAGGCTTTCTTTGCCTATGGCTTCTGAAGAATAACTGTCAGGATCCTACCGTGACACACAAGACTGTTTGTTCTGCTTATTCTGTTCCTTTAAAAAGTTCCTGCACTGATATTATATGCCACTAGCGGCCTCCCTAACCACTAGCACGGAGATTTCCATGTCATCCTCATCTGCCTGGACTAATTCAGATCCTTTAAAAGGTTACACCCAACTCACCTCGTGGCCTTGACATTGAAGTTGGTGATTGCCTGAAATACTTCAAATCCTGGCTTCTATGTTATAAACTGTGGACTAACCTTATTGGCTTAAAAACCTGCTTTACTCACCAACCTGCTCCAGACTTGCCTGAACAACTCTACATTCCTGCTTTATTTACAAACCTGCTCCATACCAGCCTGAACAACCCTAAATTCCTGCTTGACATCCAACTTGCTTAAATCTATACTGGACTTTAATTTATTATTACTTTGTGGCTACCTGCGTTACTCCTACATTGGATTTACAAATATTCCAGATTATATTGGCATCTATCATAAAAGACCTGCTACTACAATACTTCCTCTAATCCAAAGAGACTGAACAACTAAAAACCTATATAATGTAATCTTTATATTTCTGTCTAGTTATGTTTAGTTGTTTTGTTTTCCTGTAATTTATTATCTCATTAATAGGTTTTCATTCTCTAGCTTTACCTTTCTCTCTTATAGAATTCCCTTTTTTTTTATATCCTGTTCTGGGGCATTTTGCCTAAATCCTGTTTTCTGTTTTCCCTCAAGATTCATACCTATAATTTCTCTTCTAGGTTTATCTTCAATCTCCGACCTATTACTTCATTTATAGGTTTCCCTAATTTCCACGTTAGGCTTATTGTCTAAACGCTTTACTTCAAAGCCTACTTACTTACCTGTAATTTCAGTTATTTGGTTCTGTTTTCTATCTATCTTTCGTATAAATACAATTTTAGGATATCCTGTTAATACTATAATGTCTAAGATCACAGATAAAGACCCTGAAGTTAACCTCAGTTTCAGTCTCATCCCTGACCTGTACAATATCATGACAATAACACACACAAGATATTCTCTAAAGTGTGAATTGTATAGCAGTTTAAAAATGTAGATAAAACTATCCAAACTAAAAACATGGCTGACTTGGAGACTTTTCCAATTCAGCTATTCTGGCTTAAAATTTCACATTTTCTCTGCATTTCTGAAAAATTTAATTTAACGAATAGCCATGATTGTAAATTCACAGGCTCTAGAATAAAAATAAAAATTAGCTGATGAATATTTAGTGTATGCTCTCAGTATCGCCTGAAGTCTTTGTTTATTTAACAAAAAGCTTATTTTCCTACATTTACAAGAAGATTATCATAAATCTACAGACTGCACAATTAACGTATTTCTTTTCTTTTCTTGACTCTCGTAAACCACAATAAATATTCAAATGACCATATATGGAGGTATTGTCTGATACAGTAATCACCTGAGAATGAGTAAACAAATCATGCATGACCATAACATAAGTGATTTGTGTGTGTGTGTGTGTGTGTGTATATATATTTATATATACACACACACACACAAATAAAAATCATGCATGATTTGTTTATATATATAATTTATAAAGGTTAGTTCTTCAAGTGGAAAAAAAACAATGCAATAAATTATAAGAAATTAGCAATATCAAAAACCATGTGTCGTGATTGAAACTGGTAAACAATGTTTTGTATTTACTCCAGTGCATTTATTTTAATACATTATACGAAGTGTTATAGATCAATGATAAAAAAAGTAAGAAAGTGTCAGTGTGAAGAGGGATTGCTGTGAACCTTTGCCATGAAGAAGTAATGGAAAAATGAACCAATGTGTGGGGATGAGAAAGAATGACTGATTTAAGTAAGTGGCCTCAGTATTTACCCCAATCTTTTTAAATTAATTATTTGGTTGGTGTCATATTAGCTAATACTTTTTATCTGATTTTCTCAGAATGAAATCACAAGACCTATCAACAAAAATAAGTAATATTAGTCTACGTTTTTGAATCAGGGTAATAGTATTTAAGCAAAAATATGTCTGAAATAAGAGGTGAAATCTCATGTCTGCATAATTTACTGGTAAAGTTACGCATAGCTACACAGCTTATTTATTAAAGGATAGTCTTTAAATTGTGAACTAAAACCTGTACTCATTAACATATTGCCGACTAGTCTTCAACCACTTACAATCAAACAATAACCTTAACTCGATTGACAATTGTGTGTTGTTCCACCTACATTGATCAATTTTAAATTGTAAAAACTAAACATTACATTGGGAACATCATTTCTATTCCATTTGATAGTCCAGTACTGTAACAAAACCATTTAACCTTTCTAATTTTTGTTCTATAAGTATTTTTATTTCTTATGATTAAATGCTAGATCTAGATCTAGGTCATGGGGAGGATTCCATGTTTCTTTTATGCTAGTCTGTGTATTCTATACTGTCAGTTTTCACTCAATTGGGAAGCTTTCTTAAAATATGTTGGTGTATTGTTAGAACCAATAATAATAAGTATTTTAGCCATTGGCGATGTCATTCAAGGAGAGGGCGGTAATAGGCTTATTTGTTATTGTAATTGCAATATGTCCAAAATGCATTATGTTGTTTGGCTCATCTGTGTTGCTTTGCATTGTGCCTTTCCTTCATGTGCCCAAAAAGTTTTTTTCTGTTTGGAAAATGCTTGCCTCGGTGGGCTCTTCTAAAAGCCTGACCTTTTTTTTTTTATGTTCTGTTTCCATGCTTGGCGTCCTTCTAAAGTTCTTAGTGAGCACAACATTCCTTTATTCATTTATTCCAAGTATTTTTCTTATGTTAAAGGCTTGGTTATGACCAATTTTGTTTTGCTGCTAATTTAATCTACACGTTATTTTAACCAAACAGCTACTTGCTATAGGTTTGCTAAATTTTTGTTCAGATTTTCAGTATAGGAAACAATGCAAAGATAACTGCCATAAAAGGAAACAAGACAATACACAAGAAGTATTCTGTCTTCAAATTACATGCATGTCATTAGTGGGATGTCGTATGTGTCAGTTAGAGTTTGGAACATGGAGGCTCCTGCATGCACAGTCTCTCTCATCTAATTCCATTGGCCATTTAGAGAAGGCATACATGATCTTCAGGTACGAACATATTTTTAAGTGTAGATTATGTTAATATCAATATATTTAGTGTACCCTTTTGGGATATATTCGTTATATTGACCATAACATTTTTGCCCCTGGGCCTCCAGGTATTACATGCATTCAATTATCACCAATACATCAAGCGAGCCAATAACTGAGGAGCCAAGTTTTGTCACAATCCATTATTTAATCATCACATTTTTTTTAGGTTACCCATCCAGTGTTGGGTTAGGACAATCTTGTGTGGAAAATGACCACCTTTTTCGTGTTCACTGCTGTATATTTAGTCATAGAGTGACCACAAATAAAGAAAAATCCTCAATGCTAACGAATAAAACATAATCACAGTAATTAAAATGATTTTAAACTTTTTTTTCCAAATAAATTAATTAGAACACCCCAAAAAATGATCAAGTTTGGTAAATACAAAACACTCAATTGAAAATCAAGGAGTCACTAGGTTGCCAGTGACCACGTTAAACTGTGTTTTACATGTTTTATTTTATATAAATAAAGATTGTAAAGGTAATTTTGCAATATCATAAACAACGCTGGAGGTCAGCAGTGTTCATAAAAAGAAAAGATGTTTAAATAGCCTTTTCCAAGGCCAAAAAATTTTGCGGCGTATTTCCCATTTTTCTTTCTTTTTCTTTCACTAAATCTTTCAACACAGGAAATTTGCAACTATACTACATTGACAATCTGCCAAGGCTCAGCAGAAACCAATTAAATCATTTTGCGTTTAGCACAATTTTCAAATGAATAAAGAAAACACATTTCCTGAAATCTGGCGGAGCAGCATGGTGTTTTGTACAGATATTATAAATAAACATTCTTTAAATGTTTTCATCGTTATCATTATGTGTGTAATATATTAGTGAGAGTAACCCGTTTTTAATTGGTTTTGTTAGTTTGAAGATATGTGGTCACTTTTGAAGATGAGAAACTGAAGAATCTGCTCTAATGGCCAATTTGAATACATTTATGCAGTAAAGGAATGGTTCTATTGCTCTATTGCTTGTTTCTTATTGGCTGACAGGGTTATTCATTAAAAAAAAAAAAAAACAATCTAAAGTGAATTGCAAATATAAGGCCAGAATAGCTTACTGTATATACTCGAGTATAAGTCGAGTTTTTCAGCACCATAGCCCCACTCGACTTATACTCGAGTCAAGGTCTGTATTATGGCAAGTTACATTGCCATAATACAGACGAGGACCGCCGGGCTCATTACAAGCCCGGCGGTTCTGTTGGGGGCTGGCAGCAAGCTGTTACTTACCTTTGTAGCAGCTCCGGTCAGCTCCCTTCACCTCCGTGCAGCTCCCCTGTCAGCTACCAGTGTAAATTTCGTGACACCCATGGCCGTCAAAGCATTGCTGCGGGTCACGCTCCGTGCGGCACGCAGACCGTGAGATTTAAACTGGGAGCTGACAGGGGAGCTGCACAAAGGTGAAGGGAGCTGACCGGAGCTGCTACAAAGGTAAGTAACATCTTGCTGTAAACACTCCTCAGACAGCCACTAAAGGTGCTTCCTGGGTCAGTGCTGCACAGTGTGCAGCACTGACGCTCAGCATCACCACACTCTGAATAGAGACGCTAAACTTTCCCCATAGAGATGCATTAATGCTATGCATTTCTATAAGGAAATGCTGATTGGTCAGGTCAGTGTTAGGCTCCACCATCCTCCCCACCTCCTTGGCTGAGATCTATCTATCTATCTATCTATCGTCCCTTCTCCATTAGACTTTCACCCAGTCTTCATTCCTTCAAAAAAATCACTGAAAACTCACTTAAGGAATTAATATCAATTAAAACAATTTGCAGCTTTCCTTACCCACGCCCTAAATCCTCTCCTGCAACTGTCATTTAAAAAAAAAAACACTTGCTGGGGGCATGGCCTGGATCGCACCGAGAGCAGTCGCATGCCTGCGGAGCTCCCGAGCAATAACGGAGATATATGCAGATTAATCGATCCGCACGGAGACAACCCGACTACTTCTCAGCCCCCACACTCAACGACACCATGGGGAAAAGAAATAAAAAGTTAAAAACTCACCCTGAGGACGGATCCCGGAAAATAGGAGATCTCTTCCTGGCGAGGCCTAAACCTAAAATGGCGGCGACCCCAGATCCCCAAAGCTCATCCTCAGATGAGGAAACACTGGATGCTCCAGATCCCATACCAGAGGCTACAGACCCCATCTCGAGCCTAGCAATGGGTGACCTGCGAGCTCCGGCCACCAAGGGTGACATCCTGAATATACTACAGAACCTGCGCACCCTATTCCGCTCAGACATGGCGATTTTGCAGGAGGAAGTGACCGCCGTCACTGGCAGAGTGAGGGTTGCCGAGGAAGACTTAACTGCTATGGCAGAACACCAGCAAGCAACGGAGGAGAAGCTAACACACCTCCAGTCCTCACACCAGGCATTACAGGCACGACTAGACGGCCTAGACGACGCAAGACGCCGCTCCAACATAAAAATTAGAGGCATTGCCGACTCCATAGACGACAATGAATTGCCACAACTTACCCGACGCCTCTTAGCCACAATTCTCAATCCTAAGCAGGCGAAGACTGTGCTAGTGGAGGGCGTACACAGACTCCCAAAGTCACCAAGAGCTCCAACGGAGGCCTCCCGCGACGTCCTTCTCCGCTTACAGTCTACCCGGGACAAAATGGCGGTGATGGCGGCGCTCGGCGGCCAGAGCCCATACCACTTCGAAGGCATGCAGCTCACCTTCCTGCAGGACCTTTGCAGAGCTACTTTGACCTGGAGACGGTCAGTGCAGTGAGTCACCAAGACCCTCAGAGCGGCTGGAATTAGGTACCGCTGGGGCCCATCAGTGCTATTAGTTACAAAGGGAGCAGCAACTTATCGACTGACATCGACAGAAAACGCAGAAACTTTCCTTGGTAAATTAGGACTTAAAGCAATAGACTCCTCTAACCCGACCCCTAACTGCTCCTGGGACGTCCCCAACATAGTCCCATTTGTGCCGCGCTCCACCGCTGCCACAGGCTGAAACACAGGGACATGAAGGATAGAACCACCTGGCTAAGGAGCCACTGGACTCCAACAGACCGTATGACCCCTAGTTACAGAGTTTTTATTTTCTCTATTCTTAACTTTTGTTTTTGACTTGTTTTGTTTTCCTAGTATTTTGTGAAACTGTTGGGTGTTTCTTACAACGCTAACGTACCCTACACGCAGGACAGACCCCCATGCCCATCTTGCTGCTGCAGAGAGCACTCCCACCGCCACCCCCCCCGTTCCAAATAGCGCAACCTTTGGGTTAGGGAAGGCGCGGCAGCAAGCCACCCTCCTCTCATAACCAGGAAGGCTTAATGGTACACGCCACAAAAACCACTACTTAGCGCCCCATCATAATCACCGTTAGGGCCGCTGCCCACTCATACAGCCAATTTATAG